ATCCAAAACACACAGAAACTCTTGATTGTACATTCCCAAATTCTCCCTGAAACACACCTCATTCGCAATGTATAAGGTCTTGATGAAAAGGTTGTGAAATCCTAGTGTTAAAGTTGTTATTTGCCATGTTCACAGCTTGCAGACTTTTATTTACTTTTTTATTGTTTTGTAGAGTTGCTGTTATCTTTCGTGTTCGTTCTGCACAACGGATAGCTCTGACAGATGCAGTGCTCATGCGCCGTCTTCTTTTCATTGTCATGTGTTATGTCATCTACATGGTTCTATGGACTAACATTAGTCCACCAAAAGTAATGCAATCCAAGACGAGTGAAGGTTTGATATTTCAAAGATGTGCTGTGAAAGAGTGGTCGGAAATTTTAGAAGTTCTAGGTAAATTCTTTGCAAGCTGTCATTTTTTAAGATTGTTTGACAAATAATAAATGTTCCAGGCTTGTCTTCATGGAGGGGTGCAGATCACAGCCCAGGAAGGGGGGATGCACCCCACCATATCCATCACAAAATAAGAGAGTATTAAATGCATATCATTAATACTTGATCAATTACTTGTAGGTGACTTTGGTGTGCTTACGTGGGGCATGTGGGTGTGCTATCAAGTACGCAACGCCCCTTCTGCGTATAACGAGAGTAAATTCGCCAGCTGGTCCATATACATTGCCATGTTTGTCACATGCTTTTCAACTGTTATCAGGTACAATCATGCATTCGCTATATGACCTTTAAACTATAACCACCCCTTGAAGGAGATACCTATGCAAGCTCTATGAACGACCATCTCCAAGGGTACAAACACCTTCAATCGTGAACAATTCGACCTTTATACTATGACCACCTATTCAATTATAAATGACCACATCTGACTGTCCGTCCATAGCATTATAACATCACCATCATCATCAACATTCAGTTTTCTTCTTCAGCTTCATACCACTGTTCACAATGCCGTCACTACACATGCTCACTTGATTTCGAAGAGTATCCCGCTTGGCTCAGAGCCTCTTCTAGTCCAAAACTCCGTTTCAATTGTGTGATGTCAATTTAACTATTTATAGATTCACYATTCGTGACAGCACAAATCCAGATGTTATGTATGTGTTAAACTTTGTCTTCAACCACACTACAGTGACCATTATGATAGCACTCATCGCTG